TTACTCAGTCCCTTCAAATAGTAAAAAACTTTGGATACACACAATTTGGAATTAATACAGGAATCATTACTCATTGGATACTGGTTTAGAACTTCAAGAGGCGCTTGAACATGTCGTGCATCCCGGTATAGATCTGTTTGACCCCTCTCTCTCCCACCAAGCCACACGCGCCACTCTCGAGATGTTGAATAAGCGCAGAAACCACTGCGAACCTAGAGGAGCATTTGGGGCATCGGAAGATCTTTGGATTGGCCCTGTGTTTCTGGGACCTCAAGTGCTGATTGAGGTCGTGAAGTTTGGCAAAGTGGCGTCCACATGTACCGATCGGGCAGATATAAGCTTGCTCGCGTGGGCTCCACGCTTCCTCAGTGGCAATGACCTCAAGCACCTTGAAAAGCTTTGGCTGATGCCTTGGTACGAAAACATCATCACCAGAGTCGTCATCCGAGTCTACCTCGCGAATTCGATCGGTATATTCTACGTCCGTGATCAGATGGTTCACGTCCCACCTGATGACTCCTTCAGTGATCTTCTTGAGACATCTGTACTCTAAATGATGTGCCACTCCAGATGTAGTTTTGAATTCTTCTGAGCAATGAGGGCAGGGTATGTTACGTTTGTTATGAACTGGTGAGCTTAGATGCTACATAGAGAAACATTTAGGTCGGCGGTTTGTACAACATACTTGCTGTCAGGACACTCACCTTTGCCAGGTCCCCAGGGCAACGGAACTTTTTATCACAGATCTCACATTTTGGGGATGTACTACGCACTGTATGTGCTATGTTATGCGCGTTGGCGAGATGCGCCTTGGCACGATGGGATTTGAGCTGCTTAGAAGTAGCAAACTGCCTTCTACAATGACGACAATAGGTATTTGAATTCGTCATATTCTCATTTGGGTCACTCGAGTCGTGTTTAATGGAGGTTTGGAAGTGCTAGACAGGGTCGTCATCAGTCATTACAATCAGCATAGACGTCTTTGGTTTGCATACCTTTTCAAGGTCCTTTAATGCGTTGAAAGTACGCACACATGTTTGACAATAGTAGAAGTGCTCCCTTATATTAAGCCTCAGGTGCTAGAGCTCTACCGTCAGCCTGACCATCCGTCGTTCCCAGTTACCCCTCGGTTATGACTGACCTCCTGTAACCGTGAATGGCTAGAGAATTTAATATCACATGTCCTACATTTAGTGGCCATTTGTCTGATGAGGCTAGTCGAGAACGATGATGCGGTGAGAACGTAATGTGCCACAGAGCCTGACTAAGTGGTTACTCAGTTTAACGTCGTTTAACGATACCTAAAATTTCAAAAGAAAGACTGATACGTGTGAATTAACCCGGATGATTCTTTTATTATTGTTAAATGGATTCAGATTGAAAATTTGGTGTGTAGGATTGACAGCATTGAGAGAGGCCACGCTATTTCACTATTTAGGCAAACTCAAGCTGGCGTCTAGATCCATCGAGGTGTTAGAACATGCAAAGAGGGAGGTAGTTACAGTTATAGAGGACTGTGATCCTTGAATGTGTCCACTATGGAAGTACTCGAGACCAAGGGACACAAAGTCATTGGCATCATTTTAGCCTACCTGAGCCGTAGCTGCATAATATTAGACTTGGTCTCTCTCAACTCACTCAGCACATTCAAAAGATAATTTTTTTTGGTATACATCGCTTTGGAATGAGTATAGG